AATCTCGGTCCATTAACGGGGGCATCGATATTTTATCGGAATCGATCCGCAGCAGCGCGGATCAATCCTCGGCATAGAATACGATCGTGGCGGATCGCCGATGAGTAACAGAGAAAGAAGCGAAAAGATGAACCGGAAAAAAGTAGAAGAAAACGGCAGGAGGAAAGAGAAAGAACCGGCTCGATCGAAATCGACTAGAGGACTAGAAGAAAGGGGGGAAAAGGACGAGACAAAGACTTGGAGGAAGAGAGACTTCTCCTTTCGTCTAGTTCCTTCGCACAACAGAGGATTCCATCCTGAAGGATTCCATCCAAAGTCGTTACTTACATCGAGAACAAAATAAATTCGTGTCCTTGTGCAATGACGAAGGGCATCGATGCCAATCAGATAGGCAAACGACCAAAAGTGAAAGATCGTTGTAGAACAATGTGGCAACCTTTCATTTCATCCTCGTCAGAGGATGCATCGAAGAGGTCTCGATCTTTGACGAGATAATGCGCAACCGATCGGCAAGGACGACAGTTCGAAATTGTTCCAAGGAAGATGGAGTATCTCCATCCTGTTGCTGATTCGTAATGCGAACAGAGAACTCGAATTCTCTCGGCTGGTTTTACGCAAAGTTTACGAGCAACCCTTCGACGAAACTCAGAGAATAGAGTCGTTAGCGCAGTGTTGAATCGCGGAGATCTTGCATCATTTCACTTTTACCTGTGTCGAGGGGGTGTACCTTTCTCCTCGTGTTCTTTCTTTTTTTTTTGTTTTCTGGTTTCTTTCACTTTCTCCGAAACCTGGCTTGCCCCTATTCTTTTTACTTGTTCTTTTCTCTCTCTTTTTTTTTCTTTTCTTTTTTTGTTCTTAGCCATGTTTCATCGGCTACTTTCTTTGAGTCGCACCTTTCCCGAATTCGTTATCGACTGTATCGGATCTACAGCCGCGAGACAATCGACCATCAAAATGTTTTCTCGCACCTGTTGCCGCTACCTATGTGAAGAGACTAAAAGAGTACATTCGTCAAGAGTTTTACGAAAATTCTTAGGATAACTCGAATAAGGATTCAGTTGTTCAATCCAAACTTGTGAAAGAAATGTTAATTTTCGAATTCTGATCTGCACATTTTCTACAAAATCTCTGCCACGATCTACCGTGGTTTCTAAACCCGATTTTCCTCGATATTCCCACCGACAACATCGCGGCTTCCACGAACATTGGGAGATTCTACTCGATCAATCGACCCGCTCGCCAGTCGACGACCATTCGCTTCCAACGAGCGCCGTTCCAGTCGCAAATGTCAACCGTGACAGGAGGGAAAACGCAGCCGGAGGGAAGGAAGAGAGGAAAAAAAAGGGACGGGAAAGAGACGAGCGGCTGGCTCGAAGAGACGATTTTGCAAGGGAGTCGAGGCACGAGCCGCGGGGAAATTGGACGCGTCAAATGTCACATATCCGCGCGAGCTCGATTAAATGTCGCCGCCGAGGCGCTCGCGCGACCTGTGGCACTCGATACGGCGACGCGTCCTTGTTGAAATTAAATTGGACGGTGCTCGCCGCTCGCGCTCGCGCGAGAAGATCGCTCTCGAACGAAACGAAACGAAATTACGCAATTCACCGCAAGCCGCACACACCGGCAACCCTGTGTATCCTGTCGTCCCGCCATGTATCGATGCAACGAAGATCGATTTCTTCGTTACGCAACCACACGCAGGTGGGGAGGGTAGAAAGAAAGTGATGACGAACGTTAGTTCAACTTCAGGTACTTTCTTGCATCGAGCGCGACACGAACCAACTTCCTCTCTTCCGCAAGATAGTCGTGTCGCGACCAAGTCAAATGGATTTTTAACGATTAGACGGAGCGATATGATGGAAAGTGGGAGGAAAGTTTCAACGAGGAAATCCGCCGTGAAACGCTTTTACCGTTCTCTCCGCGAGTCCGATAACGACAATTTATTTCCTTTTATCGTTCGATTTAATGGTCAAAAGAGAAAGATTATCGAGAAGAAAGATGTAAAGTCAAAATGTAGGAAATTAGAAAGCTCTCTCCACGAGAGTGACATCAGCAAGACATCATATTACTAACTTGTATTTATCACAATGACAATATGTAATGTTACTAAAAATCGAACACCATAGAAAAGCTCCGTATTATAAAAAAGACTGTTCCATTGACGATCGTGTAAAATCGGCATAAAAAGACGGAAGAAGACGAGGAAATTACGTAAGCAACTCTCGATGAAGCTGCACATTTTGTCTGCACACCTTTGGAGATGACACGAGAAGGAGGATGCAAAATTCTTGTGTTACACATTTCCTTCCGGTTGTGTAACAGGCGCCCGGTTACACCCCATCCCTTCGTTTGGCCAACACCCGCTCGTTGCTTTCTCCTCAACAAAGGATCAGCAGTTTCGATGAGCGTTTTTTAATAGTTTCCGATTGGTCCTGGAAAAGAGGGGAAAGAGGAAAGGACGAAAAGAGAGAGAAAAAAAACGGGAACGAACGAACGGTGCAGCAGTTGCTTGGATGGTTGTCGACAAACGCCGACAGTTTTTCGGTCCCTCGAGTGTCCATGCACGAGCGGGAGGGAATACAAATGCAGGAAGTTACGCATCCTGTGCGATCGATCTATCGCTTGGAGGATCGTGCTTCGGCCTTTATTCGACCGGTCCTGGACACTCGAGACGCAGATAGAGAACTTTGATCTTGAAATACTTTCCAATATTTTACTCTCACTTTTAGAAAAAAAAAAA